AAAAATAATTTTATACTTAGTATTTGATTTGAAAAGTTATCATTCATATTTTTTTTTTCTTCCATGATTCTCTTTTATAGATTTTCACGTTTTCATCCTTTATGAATTGATACAAATTTTATCAATATTATTTTTCTATGACATCATTCTAGTTAGTACACATTGTTTTCAATTTTTGAGTTTGAACAATATGTTTATAGGATCATTTTAAATCACTCGTATGATGACATTATGTGTTTGAGCTTCCGGATCATCTAGTTGTGATTTATAATGTATTCCTTATGTGTTTTGATCAAGCTTTACAAAAAGGATTTCTTCTATTGATCAAACACTTCTTTTGGATATATACTTTTTTTTGTATTTGCATATGAGAGGTTATATGTTTGAGCAACCCCCGAGAGTTTTACCGGATGCTAAAAGCTTTACTTGGGTTGAAACTCGTTTCAAGAGCTTGTTATGCTCACCTCTCTTGTTTTTGTCAAAAATGAGCATATTTATCTTTCAAGTATTTATCCAAAGCATACTAATTTTTAATGTTTATGGATAAAACTTATAAATTTTTTGACAAGTATTCTTTGTTTTCATACATTGAGACATCATTCTCATAATAATGTATTTATATATGTTCTCAATCAATCATAACTTATGGTTTGATAACTTAAGAATTTTCCTTTGAATTTATTGACAAATCATTTGATTCTTGATTTTTTAATTTTTAAAACTTTGATTTTCATTTTTGGGATTTTTTTGTTTTTGTTTGTTTTTTGATATATATCCTATGGATATATATATCTTTGTGTTAGACCCTTGTGGCACTTTATATTAATGATACACATATGAGTGTTCACTTGGTCTTGTATGTGAGTGGTGTTTAGCATATTTTTGTCTATGCTTGCTCACATTTGTTAGCCATGTTTATAATTGCAAATTTTCTATATGGCTTTTTGATAGGGGGAGCATTCCCCATATTTTTTTTATACTCACCTATGCTTTATGATAGGGGTAGCTTTCGCTCTCTTATTTTTTTTATTTTCCCATTTTTGATGTTGCTAAAGGGGGAGAAACAAGTGGATTGTGAGTATATTTTTAGAGTATTGTGCTTTATTGTATATTTCATATACTCTTTGTATAGATTGTTTGTCATCATCAAAAAGGGAGAGATTGTTAGGTCTCATGTTATGAGCCTATATCTTCTAATATTGTTTTGATGATTACAAACAATTCCTAACAATGTGTGTCGAGTGTTTGCATTTGTTTTGTTAGGTAATCTATACAAATATCCAAGTTGGAGGTTGGATGGATTGAGCCTACACGATCACATCAAATGGAGGTTGGTGGAATAGTAGAATGAAGCCATTGCACATCAAGTCATATTCAAGATCTAGCTTCATCCATTACCAAGACGAGCATATTGAAGATCCATCTAGCAATTGTATATTAGTTGTTTTTGTAGCGTATATTGTGTGAATATATTTTAAGCTCAATATATATATACACACACACAATTTTATTTTTATTACAAAATGAGCTTATTTGAGAAAACAATGCAATATTGGTTTATTAATCTTGTTTACATCACATTCATGTTTTATAACGTTTATAAAAACATTTCATAAAGTTTCCACATGTTCTTACATGTCAAACTTCATTTTCAAGATTACTCAAAAACATGTATTATGTATATTTTTGATAAACATTGAGTTTTAACAAATACGAGGACCTTTTCATAAAATTCCTTTTCAAATAAGTTTGTCAAAATGTTTATAAACTGTTTACAAAGTTTCATATTTTTTGGTATTTATTTACTATTTTTTACAGAGCCTTGAAACTCAATTTTAAAATCGATTCAGGCTGATAACATGTTATCAGTCAACTGACCAGTTGACTGATGAAGTCAGTCGATTGATGAAAGTGCCTGGAATCATCATTTTGCTCTCTGTTCTGTTTCGGTCGACTGACCAGTCGACTGACGAGATAGTCAGTCGACTGAAATGATCATCAGTCGACTAATGAGCTGGATATCGTATACAACATTCAACTCATCAGTCGACTGATGCTTCCTGATAGTCGACTGATGGCCTGTAACGGCTATTTTTCCAGTTTCTATTTTTTTATTATTTTGCTGGATTTCACTTGGGTTTTAAGCTTTATTTCTTCATCCTATATATACCTTATACCATTTCACTTCTGAACCATCAAGAAAATTATTTTAATTAAGTTTTGAAAGAGTTTAGTTTGTGTTTAAGCATTGTTTTAAGTTTATTTCAAAAGAGGAGTTCTTCACAAGGAGGAAGCTTTTGATTTCAACTGAGGAATTCATCCTCATCATCTATCTATAGCTCGTTGTGCTTATTGAGAAGATTTCTAACTCTTTTATCTAGCTTATTTATCTTTTGATTTTCATATTCATATCTTAGCTAGTTTTATTTGAGTTAGAATTTTATTGTTCTCATTTATCACTCACACCTCAATTGAGCTTTTAATATTATTCATACAATATATTGTTGGGTTGTGGTGAGTGATTTAGTGAGAGTGAGCTTCATAGTATTCTCATTCATTGTTAGAGAACAAATCTTGTATTTGAGCCTTATTGTGAGAGTTCACATTGTAATACATATTTACACCAAGAGGAGTGTGTGGTGAGGACGTAGTCGATACCAAAAGGAGTGGCGTCGGTAGTAAAGCCTAGAGAGAGGTAGTAAAGCCGAGCACTTGAGGGAGGCGATACATGAGGACCAACACTTGAGGTTGTAGTTTGAATATGTACATTGTGAGAGATTTGTAGAGTTTTTGGTGAGCTAAAAAACCGAGTGTGTAGAGAAGTTCCGGCTTCCAAACCGTGTGTGTCGTTAGTTAAGTTCTTCCCGGGAGTAGGGAGCGGAGACGTAGGATAGAAGATCCGAACTCCGTGATCATATCTTGTGTTTGTGTTTATCTTTGCGCACTATCACTTGTTTATTTACTCTTGTTCATATATCCTTGCATATATCAAATTGAATATCAATATCACTTGTTTATTTACTCTTGTTCATATATCCTTGCATATATCAAATTGAATATCAATATTGTTAGGATATATTATATATCCTTGCATATATCAAATTGAATATCAATATTGTTAGGATATATTTGTTAAATAATTTTAATCGATATTAATATCTAATAAGATTAGTAATAACCCATCACCCCCCTCTTGGGTACTTTTAGCGGTGACCTGCGTGGCTGTCGGTCACCCTTGGGTGACCCGTGCGCCATGCGAGTTCTGAACTTTTCGGTGTTTTCGAACATTCTCAGACTTGTACTTTCTGTCGTTTTGTGTATTTGATCGTCTTGTTGACTTGTATGCTTCGTTAACTTGCTTCATGCGCTCATTAGCTTCTTTACGGTACTTGGAGCTGACCGACAAGTGTACGGGTACTTGGAGCTGACCGACAAGCGTGACGGGCATTTGGAGTTGACCGAAAAGTATGACGGGCACTTGAAGCTGACCGACAAGCGTGCGGGCCACAAGCTCCGACAAGCATACGGACTACTCGGGTAATCCTTCTTGACCCGGATGATAATGTTCATTGTCTTCTCTTCATCTCGAGCTACGTGCGGACACCTACAAGAATTTTTAGATGCCTACAATGATTTTAAAATCAGGCAATTTGACAAAGGATGTGTTTCTGAAATCATGCCATTTGACATGCGATTCTTGATGTTATGAAAACCCTCAAGAAGTCCACTATGGAGTGATGTGTTTATGCCCGCCATATGGTTTGAATGCATTTTTATGTGGCCATTTTGGGCATTTGTAATATGACCCTCTTTGGGCATTTGTGATGTGTCAGGCGGCCTAGGACATAGTCAAGTACATTCAGTTCCCGAAAACTATGTGTTATGTGATGTCTTTTGGCATTCTTGTGCTACTAGGCTATAATTCGTAATCTTAGTGTGGCCTATGAGGTTATTCTTGCATTACATGAAGGACTCATCGAGATTTGAGATTCTTGACATTTGATTGTGAATTTGAGAAAATAGCAATCTTTTGGTTTTGCCCAAATTTAATAGTCTTGTTTTCTTTCTTAGTATTTACTTGATTCCAAAGAAGTCTGATTCTGGAATATATTACGGTTTATTAAGTTTGCACATAAAAAAATCTAAAATGTTACATTCTTTCTTGAAGATAACAATAGTATGTTATCTTGGACCATAATTTGCTATTTATTTTAAAATTTATGGTGCAAACTTTATAATTTACTATTTTTGAGAATTATTATTATTTTGTAAGATATCTATAAACTCTAGTGAAAAATATTCTCACTGAGCCCTAGCTCACCCGTCATTTTTTAAAATGCTTAGATCTAGCATAGCTACATAATAAGCTGAACTTTTGGTTGTGGCGTATTGCTAAGAGGCGTTTACATGGAAAAGCCTATACTTTGTTGTTATGTACAGCTAACAGTGTGCTTTATTTTGTAAAACACTTGTAATCAGTGTGACTTTGAGTTGTATGTATTAATTATATATAAAGTTTGCTTTGCATTTCCATCATCAGCAGATTATATGTACATATTGAAAAAGTTATGTGATATGAAGTGCCAAACTTGACTTGTGCACGGGACTTGTCCTGTGTTTGAGTCGTTGCTATTGTGCAACTCATTTTTATATTTTTTTTCACTACAGTTTTGGTGCATGACACTTCCCACTGCACAAAAACTTCAAAATTGTGATAAAAATCAAGAACTATATTTTATATTGTAACAAAAGCACACCAAAGTTTTGCACAATGATATTTAAGCATGTCTCATGTCTGAAAGGCCATGACCTTTTTCGCGGTTACCAAAATGTTTCCAATATTTTACATGACATAATTGTCACATTATGAGTAACAGATCAGCCATATGAATCAAATTATCTTAAGAATGTATGTAGAAATAATCAACTTAATTTAACTAAGAAGAACAATAACTTTTTCAATATAAGCGGAAAATAAAAAACCATGACTGAGATAATACCTGCAGTACAGTGCTACACGATACCACAAGAACTGCTCCGAGGAGATAAAAACAACCAATTATCCAGTTTTTCTCGACTTTGTCTTGCAGAAGTTCAATGGAGACAAGGGGTCCTTGATATTGAGTCTTTAATGGGTGTTTTCGAGTCTGTAAAATGCTCATTACCATGGCTCCGCTTAAGCATATTACAGTTCCCAAAACCTTAGCTCTAGTGTATTTACACTTCATATCAGTTTTCTCAAACCTACAATAAAAGTAATAGAACTTTATTAGAGAGTAAATAATTTATAATGGTCATAGGCATAGAGCATTCTTGGGCTAATTTACAATGGTCCCAGTCTATGGTGTGGAAGCATGGCGGGGAGGGATAACACTAAAAAATAAGGATTCAGATCCTCTCCTATTAGGTTATGATTAGAGAGGATCCAATTCTTCTAATCTCTACCATTTATCTCTAATTCAAAGGACAAGATAATACAATATAGGATTACCTTAATTAAATTAGTGGGGAATTTGGTAGATATATTTTTACAAAATATTTCTACAGACCCTCCAACTAGCCTTTCTAAATAGATGTCAACCAAACAACTTCCTGTCAAATTTATTTAATGAGAAGCCAATAACAAGTTTATATCTCTATCTAGATGATTATTATCAAATAATTATATGTATTTCATAGAGCAACAAATTGGCTTTTTGCTGTGTGCGTGCATTTACAAAAAATAAGGGGAAAAAACAATTGTTGCTCTATAATTGTATACACATTTACCAAAACAAATGCTAACACATAATTTAGGACTTATAAATACAAAGTAATTATAAATAAAATAAATTTGAGAGGGAGTTGTTTGGTTGACATTTATTTGGAGAGCTTAATTGGAGAATTGCTTGTGAGTTGTTTGGTTGACATTTATTTGGAGAGCTTAATTGGAGAATTGCTTGTAAAAATATTTGAGTTTGTCAAAAATAATAATATCTACCAAATCCATGAGCTTAATTGGAGAATTGCTTGTAAAAATATTTGAGTTTGTCAAAAATAATAATATCTACCAAATCCATCATAATGTTTTTCAAATCCACTAGTTAGGGTAAACCTATAAGGTATTATCTTATCCTTTAAATTAGAGATAAATGGCGAAGATTAAAGGAATTTGACTGTCTCCAATTGCCACCTATTTGAAGAGGGTCTAAAGCCAAAAAAGAAAGAGGAAAAATTAGAAATTCTATTGTATGTGTCTGTGTGTGTGTGTATGAGATTGTGGCTTATTTTATAAAATGAGCTATAAGAAATGCACATGTGATGAGACCTACTATTATTGCCACATCAAAAAGTGTGGACCTCACCATTTCATTTCTTGGTAGCCCATTTTGCTAATTGAGCTATTACCTCACAACCATCAACCCCATATCTATGGGAATGATGTGTATGATGTGATGCCTTACTTTGCTAAATGGGCTACAAAGAGATAGAATAGTGAGATCCATATCTTCTGATGTAATTAACAATGTGGGTCTCATAACATAGCTATCTCTAGGTATCTCATTTAGCAAACCATGCCACCATCTCATACATATTATTTTCCTATATATATACATACACCTACATGTACATATGTATGGCTAAATTGGACAAAAGTTTCTTAATGTTTTCCATTTCGACAATTAATACCACAAGTTACATTTTGATACAAAAGATATCATAAAGTTTTCAAAGTTTGCATGTTACTATAATAACCCATGCAAATGTAGAATTTTGATTGATGTAATTGTAAATTTAATAAATACTATTATTTTAAAAGCTCTAAAATTTGCATGTAAGTATTATAGAAAATTTCATGTGAAAATTTTCATGTTTGCATAATTGATGGTAGTAAATAAATTTTTTAGAAATTGTATAGTATATTATTGTACCAAAATACAACTTGTGGTATTTACTTATCAAAATGGTTAACTCTATGGTATTTTTGTGCAATTTAGCCTATGTATATACGCGTACGTATCGGTCTTATCTATTTCTCTTGTATCTTATGTGTATTAGCATTTGTTTTTGATAATCATATTTTTATTACATTTTAGACGGTCATTATTTATTTTTTTAAATAAAAATATCACTAATAAATATGTTATATCTTAATTTGTAGGTTAATGAAGAATTATTGAATAAAATCTCAAAAATAACTCAAATTTCCTAATTTTTTAACCTTTTATTAAAGCCGGGGATCGGGCCAAGCAATCTACAGAAGCCAAAGAAACAAGGATTCAATATGAAAAGAAATCAAGTTAAAATTTTGTTCAAGATGATTAGCCACAAAGATATGGCGATATCTTTCAATCTGAAAGGCAGAATTTAATATATAATATATAAAAATCACCTATCTCGACAAGAAGAAGTTAACTTCATTTTTAAAATTTTCGAATTCCAATCAGTTTGTCAACTGATTGGCCAATCGGTTGACCGACCAATTAGTTCGTAAAAAACTTATTTTATGGCTAAGATTTAATCCTTGAAGCCCAAGTAAAATCCAATGGTTCTTGTTGCTTATTGTAGGCTATAAATAGGAATAGAGGGTGAGGGGTTTGAGTAAAAAAAATTGGTAAAAACTCTTTTTGAAGAGGAATGAATACTCTTAATTGAGAAGATATTCCAAAATTATAACTTTTATTACAATTAATAAAATAATTTTTTCATCTCTACATAGTTTTCTTTTCTTCTCTTTATTTGATGATGAAGATAAAGATGAGATGAAAATGAAGACCATGATGAATATTTGCCTTCATCAAGAAGCTAGAACCCTCTTAGAATGTAAATTTTTTCTTTATCTTTTTAATTTTCTTGTAATATTTTCTTTTCTTGCTTTAGATATTCAAGGGGCTAAAACCCTCTTAAATTAGATTTATTTTTATGCCTTGTAGAGTAGATTTATTTCCATGCGTTTATTTTCTTATAATTATTTTATAATGTAGATTTATTTTCTTGTATAATTTAGATTTTATTTTTTTGCACTATTCGCCAAGAGGCTAGAATCCTCTTGGGAATTAGTTTTTATTTTTGTTTATTCTTTTCCTTTATTTCTCTCACTTAGAGGCTAGAACCCTCTTTGGAGTTGGTTTTTATTTTCATTCTCACTTAAAGGCTAGAATTCTCTTTTGAGTTAGTTTTTATTTTTATTCTCTCACTTAGAGGCTAGAATCCTCTTTGGAGTTTGTTTTTATTTTATTCTCTCCCTTTTATTTCTTTGTTTTTATTTTCTAAGACGTTGACCTAATTCTTGTAGGAATTTTAGAAATGCATGAAACTAGGTTAATTTCTTTTATGAATGGTGAAGTACTTTCTTATGCTTAAAAATGATCCTGTTTAGGATAATCAACTAGAGAACTAATTGGTAGGAGGAATTCTAGAATTACTATCTAGTTGTTATTCTTTCCATGCATGTCAATTCTGCTTAGATGATAATTTGATAAGTTATACTTTTCTTAAGTGATTTGATAGTCTATGCTTAATAAATTTAAAGTAAAATATAATAAAAAAGGATAATCCATAATTGGCTAGTGGATTCAATTCTAGATTTTTCGTATCGATCTCTAATTGAATCCTCCATCTTTTACTTTCTTAATTTTTCTCTTTATTCTTGATTTTTTTATTTGATTCTTTTTTTTATTTTACTTTATTTTCTTCATCTTTCCTTCTCCACTCTCAATCTAGTTTTGTTTTTATTTGCATATAGTCACAACCACTCTCCTTATATCTCTCCACAATCACACATTTATCACTCCTAATTGTCATACACACAACTTAAGAATCACTTTTGATTAATTCCTACAACATCTTCCTTGTGGGATTCGACATTTTTCTATATTATAACTTGATTGTGAATTTGCAATCTCGACATATACAAACACCATATCAGCTTTCCTTACATTTTACCTCCACGTTCATCTAATTTAATTTGACAGACAAGAGCATGAGTTTGTCTTATCAAACCATATCCATATATGTATCCGTGGTTAGCAAATAAATATAAGTATAGAGAATATCATATATGATATATCTATGCACCGGAATGTATACTAAAGGTTTTATTTAATTTTATCAACAATTGGCCTAGTAAATCATGTTAGTGGAACACTTAAAATCCTTGCTAAGGTTATGAAGAGGAGAAAAGTTTCCATGAATAAAAAAACATTCCAGAGATTCATTTATATTGTTATAAGTACTTATTTAACCATATAGCATTTGCCCAAGTATTTCCTTGGTTACAGGTGTATGAATTACGGAGAGTTAAAATGCAATTACTAGTTAAACATTTGTAAAAGCATAAAGTCCAAATTTAATTACATTTTTATGCACAATCCTTAGGATGGTGCCTTCCCATCATAAATAGAGGACCACAAGGATAATAATCATTATATAGAGAGGCAAGTTGATACTTAATTAACTGCATCTGAAACAATATAACTACAAACGTACAATATCAGAAAAGAATATGAGCTTATAGTCAAAAGCGTAAAACGCAGAAATACCTGAGGCAAGCTGAGATAATAAATATGATTCCTGGCGCAATATTAGGCATCGCAGATGCAATGGCTGGAGTTGTTCTCTCTATTCCCATCATCATAAGAGTTTGAAATGTGGTCACCCTATACAATAGATTTGTTATACATATGCCTGTAGCAAATAATTGTTACGCAATATTGTTTCACAATATATCTTAAACTTATTGTCATCTCATGAGAGGCCTCAAATACGAAGGAAAGTTTGAGATAAAAATAATATGATTGTTGCAAAGGAGAAAAGCATCTCACAATTCAGTATTATACTGCATAAAAAGTCTTCTTTTGACATTCAAGCAATCAACGCCCCACAGTATAAAGACATTGGCTTATTAAGGAAATCTTCGTGTTTTTTCTTCTTGAGAATGTCTAATATTGCATATTAGTTTTAAAATAGCTGTATGAAAAAGGTAAATTACACCAAACACTTTCGGCACTTCGTGGTGAACCCTAGAAACTTCCGAAATTGTGCTAAATCCATAATAAATTTTGCAAAAAAATCCCTAATATGTTTGGATAAAATACACTAAACCCCAAATGACTTTCAAACTGCATTTCTTTTTTCTGTTTTGGGTTCTAATTTATGGGGGTTAGTTGCAAAACGCGTAAATTTAATGGGTGTTTTCTGCAAAACTCAAAAGTTACGAGCCTTTTAGTGCAATTTTGAAAGTTATTTTGGGTTTATTGCAAAATGTTGAAAGTTCTGTGGGATTTACTAAATTTTACCTATAAAAACTACTTGAAGTATATTAGTTAGCCGAGAAGATTTTACATTCAGTTATGGAAGAATTGTATAGTGAATTTAAGTTGCTGGAAGGGCGACGGTCTGAATGGTGCAGAATAGCGAGTGATTTTTGTTTGTCTATCTTGCGCCATCGCCTAGATTTTAATGGCTAAGAAAAAGAAAAATAGCAGGAAAAAAAATCCTAGAGATCGGATTGAGAGCTTCTAAGATGATCTCGACGTCCTATGATGATCGTGTTGATGTTCAAAGTGAAGAAGATGATGAATATTTCATAGTTATGGGATCGACTAGGCCAAAGGGGGAAAAGTCATGATCTATGGCTGAGATTCTGAATTGAGAAAATTCTGAGCATGATCGAGTTCCTTCTCCTCTTTCAGGTGTTCTAGTTCGTCAGCTTGCTCCTTAGTAAGAGATTCAAGCTCGTTTCTTTGGTAAGTCTCCTTATTCTGGTTCTTGTAGCTCAGCTAGAGTTTCTTGGGCGGATGAGATGGAGAATGGAAAAGATGATGTTAATTCATCAATAAATCAAGAAATAAATGATTCAAGAAAAATTTCTTCAAGTTCAAATCTGGTTAATGAAAATGTTGTTACATTGAATCCTGGATTGGGAGATAGTGAAGTAATCTGTAAAGATTTAAGTACAGATAACATGGAATCTTCTTTTTGAGATGTTTCTAATGAGAAGACTAAATTTCCTATGGGTGATTCTTCAAAAGGGTTTAGTTCTTCTCCTTTAGGGGAAAAGGAAAAAGCTGGGCAAGTCTATTTGCAAATAATAGGAAGCCAGGCTATGAGATGAATTTGAACTATGTACCTATTGAAAACAAAGATACAATATCTTTTGATGATGATGAATGGAATGAGGAGATTTTAGTTTGGCAATCTTCTCTAATTGGTCAAGTTATGGGACTAATTGGTCAAGTTATGGGACTAAATGTAAAGTTCAAGGCTATGGAAAAGTATACATAAAGAGTCTGAAAATATTTGATGCTTGAAGTTTGCCTGCTCAAGCCTGGATTATTCTTGTTTAAATTTAAGAGAAAAGAAGAAATGAATGAGATTCTATGTAAAGGGCCTTGGTTTTTTGGCTCAATACCTCTTTTATTGAATCCTTGGTCTAATGGTGAAGAAGTTAAAAAAAATAAATGAATGTGTGTATCCTATGTGGATACAACTTCCTGCTTTTGAGGCTTAATTTGTGGAATGCTAAAAGTATTAGTAAAATTGTTGGTGCAATTGGGTTCCCTATTGCTACTAACAGATTAACTGCTAATAGGCAACGTTTGTCATATGCTAGGGTGTTAGTAGAAGTTAACCTGTCTTCCACTCTCCCAGTTCAAATCACTATTCAGGATCCAAAAGGGAAACAATTCATTCAGAAAGCGATTTATGAATTTAAGCCTAGGTGGTGTGAATTGTGTAAACAAGTTGGACATGATACAAGTTCCTGTAGGAGGCAAGTAAGGACTCAAAAATGGATTCCCAAGCAAAATCCAAATCCAGTGCCTGCAAATGCTGTAAAGGAGAAGGAAAATACTCAAAAAGTGAATGAAACCCTGATTCTCATTAACATGATAAAAGTCATCAAAGATTGGAGATAAATTATATTCCTGTATGCAAGTCTATTGGAATTCAGGATGCTAGAAATGAAGGCAATCATCATTTGACTCAAGTAAATGATATTCCTATATAGTTTGGCATTGGAAGTTCTCTGGGTAAAGAAATTGAAGAAGTTCAATCAATACAATAATCTGGGCAGCTGGCAGTACACAAGCATGTTGTGCATGTTAAGCATGCAAGAGCTGGGGGGAGTGTTAATTCTAAAGATTCACCTCAAGGGGATAGCTCATGGAATTATGTTCAAAAAGGCAAAAGTAATAAGGTTGTCATTCCTACCAATTCATTTTCATATCTGACATTTTGGATATAGATCCCTCTTCTATTTACAGGGGGGAGGAAGACAATGATGAATCTATCATTCTGGAATGTTAGAGGATTAAATAAATCCTCTAAACAACATCTGGTTAAGTTTTTTATTTCACAATATCAGCTTTTTTATCTAGCTTTGCTTGAAACAAAGATTATGGATAGTATGTTGCAAGCTGTTACCAAAAACATTGTAAGAAATTGGAGTCCGATATCAAATGTCAATAATATATTAGAGCAATGCATCACAAGTAAAGTAAAGTCTTTGGATGGGAGAATAGACTGCGTAATTTCCTCAATCTATGGGTTTAATCAATTGGAGGCTAGAAAAGATTTATGGCTTGAATTGAGAATTCTGCAACAATCAATAGGGGATGATATGTGGCTTCTATGTGGTGATTTCAACAATATTATTAGTAATGAAGAAAAACTTGATGGTGCATTGCTAGCAGATAATGACATTAAGGATTTTAGAGATTTTATTGATGACTGCCATTTAAACTCTTTTAAAACTATTGGTTGCTTCTATACCTGGAATAACAAACAAGATCATGATTCTAGAGTATGGAGCAGATTGGATAGAGCTCTGGTGAATGATGCTTGGGTCAACATGTACAATTCAAGCCAGGTAGATTTTTTACTTCCAAACTTTTCAAATCATTCCCTTGCTTTGGTTTCTGCTTATGATGATTGCTTAAGAGGGAAGAAGCCATTCAAGTTCTTTAAAATATGGACAAAACTTGAAAGGTTCCTTCCAGCAGTGTCTACAATCTGGCAAACAAAAATAGGAGGACATAACATGTTCTATGTTTGTAAAAAACTTAAACATCTGAGGGGAGGTCTTAAAGATATTAACAAGAAGCATTATCACAGTATTAGTGAGCAGGTTCAAAGAGCTAGAATTGCATTAGAAGAAGCTCAAGGGAATTTACATACAAACCCTTTTTGCCCTGAGTTCATCTCTAAAGAGAGAGAGTGCATGGCCATATACAACAAACTCCTGGATTGTGAATTATCTTTCCTCCAACATAAAGCAAGGATTAATTGGAGTGTCAAAGGGGATAGACGCACTAACTTTTTTTACTCTGCAATTAAATCTAATAGACATCATAATAAGGTGATGTATAATGGCTTGGGTCAAAGAATCTCTAATCAAGAAGAGATTGCCAGAGAATTGGTGTCTTTTTACAAAGACTTATTGGGAAAGTTTCTGATACGCTGACACATAACATTCAAACCATTAAACCTGGACCTTGCTTGAATGATTCACATGCTAATATTCTTTCCAGTCTAGTTTCAAAGGATGAAATCAAAAAAGCAATATTTTCAATGGATGATAACAAGGCATCGGGTCCTAATGGATATGGTGTAGCATTTCTACAATTTTGCTTGGTCTATTATTAGAGAGGAGGTTTCAATAGCCTTAGTGAGATACGAGTCGTCGTGCGAGCACCCTTTGGTCGTGGAATTACCAAAAGGTGGGTTGAGAAGAATGTTGGCCTTCTTGTTTTGATGATGTTTAACAAACAATTTACCACTAATGTTGTTTGCCTAGTATTTGTGTTTTCTTATTTATTATAGACAAACAACGTAGTTGGAGGTTGGATGGATTGTGCCACAACGATCATATCCAAAGGAGGTTGGCGGAATGTTGGTGAAGCCTTGCAATTCAAAGTTAAAGATCAAGTTCAAGCTTCATCTGTAAGTGTACCAAGTTGAGCTTATTGAAGATAAAGATCAAGCTTGGGTAATTTAGTTTAGGTTTTATATTATGTGTGTTAAGTACGTTAAGGTCAATATCATATACACACACATTTATTGGTTTCTTCGTATATATATATATATATTTTTCATGTTTATAATATGAAATCACATGTTTCATATTTATTATTGTGTTTTAGTATATATTATGCAATTTTGTGAAAATATTGATGTAGGCATATAAAACTGCCTATAGGTCCCTGAATACAGCTCGACACGGTGATTCGATAAACCAACGAGCCATCGGGTGACGTATCTAAACACGAACGTCAGTCCATAACACCGAAGCCAAGTGACACGCAACGAAGCGGATTAACGAGGCGACGAAGTTAACGAACCGTACGCAAGCAATGGAATACATTGTAGGCATCGAAAATTGCCTATAGGTCTCCACGAACAGCTCAGTGTTAAGGAATGATAATGAACATCACTATCTGGTTCACAGGAGTTCGACTGACGTCGGTGAACGATTGAAGTAAACCGACGAACTACGTGAGCTGACAGAATTTTGGGATAACGAAGGCACGGGCTAATCGAGAACCCCGCGATGTTTACAAAAGGAACAACGCCCTTCGTGTCTCATACATCACCTCGTCGGTTTCCCAACGCACTTTGAATCGTTCAAATCCGAGTTCGGATGAAGAAGTTACGGTGA